AGTGGGTGAATTTCAAGAGTTTGTGCCATTGTAATACGGAGTATGTTTACTGCATGTATATTTCCTTTATTTTTGCAAAATGCCAATTGACACTAATGTTTAATTTATGTCCCTTTTTATTTATATGCATGTGATCTTGTTACTATAATTAATAAAGTTTAGTTTTTAAAAATAATTTGCTCATATTAGTCAAAAGGATTTTACCAGCAAATCTACATAAATATAGTCAGAATATAAGGAAACAAATACCCTTTTGGTAATTATACATTCAATCAGCCAGTTCAGCCCAAATATTACCAAACACTTTCACTTCAGCAATTTCAGCCGTTGCAGCCGTTGCAGCCGTTACCAAACAGGCCCTATATCTATCTATAAATAAATGATAGATAAATAAATGATATATCCATTGACGAATGTATAAAAAGAGGAAGTAACGATCACATCTTATGAGAACTAGGTCTCAAACACGAGTGAAGCTTTGAAGATACTGAAGATTAGATTTAGGGCCTATATTGGGCACGTTTGGATTTTGGCGTTTCGCCATCTTACCCGCTGCAATTTGCAGCGTTTCATGTTTTATGTGAATGGCGGTTTGGACTCAAACGCCGCTAGCCAAACGACCTCATTGTTTTAAGGGAGGGATTTATCATTGTTCTCAGGGTTGGGTTTTTAGAGATCGTTTTGTTTTTTGTTTGATTTCCTTTCTGTTTTTTTTTTTTTTTTTCTTTTTCCTGTAACTTCTTTCATTTTCTTAATAAAGTTTTGTTTCATTTTAAATAAAAAATGATAGCCTTTATCCTTTCCAAATAATTTAGACAAATGAAATTAAAATCCATAAAAATGAATCTCTTCCGAGTGAGTTTATCAATCTGGGTTCGAGGTGAATTGGACATCGTCAATGGGTTTCTCTAATATTTGTTTTTTTATTTCCATGTAACATGGTAATTTATTGAGAGCTGTAAAATTACTATAGACAGCCACATAATTGATATTAATAATAAATATACTTCAAATATCCAAATTTTCCTATTACTATAATAATATTACATGATCAGTCACTCTAGACTTCCATAAACTCAACAACTGCCGACAAATTAGGTAATTCCATAGTCATATTTTTGTGAGATATTACCCAAAATAGGACTAAAAGAGTTAGAAAATTCCAAAATAGGACTACCATGTTTTTATTCCCAAAATAGGACTAATTACTGTCATGTTTTGGCAGTACCAGACTTCAAACATGCAGTATTTTCCAAACATGGCAGTAATTACTCCTATTTTTGGAATAAAAACATGACAGTCCTATTTTGGAATTTCCAAACTTTTTTAGTCCTATTTCGGGAACTTTCCCATTTTTGTTGATATCATGTTTTTGTTTAGATTTGGAGTTGTGACTTGTGAGTTGTGAGGTGACAGGGTCAGGCCCGTGCCTCATGCAAGGCTAGAGAGGCCCCTCAGGGCCCCAAAAAATTGGAAAAATTAGGGGCCCCAATTTTTTATATTTTACTATTATACCTATGTATTTTCTAACATCTATGTGGTTATCAATATTGAAATTATGGAATCCTCAATTCACAATTAATCAAATTATATGCTTTGTATTTTGTGAATAAATTCCATTTTTTATCCTACGAGTTTTATGTCAATTCCACATTTAGTCCACGTCTTTCACTCTATCCAGATTTGGTACATGACTATTGTGTTTTCGTCCACATATAGTCATTCCGACCATGTTTCCGGTGGTTAAAATCGCCGGAGAAGAACCACAAATGGTAAAAAACATTAGTCAAGTACCAAAAGTGAACAAAGTGAAAGACATGGACTAAATGTGGAATTGACATAAAACTTGTAGTACCAAAAGTGGAATTAATTCGTATTTTGTAGACAAAGTTACTACTATATATCGTTGAGTATTCCACTAAATTATGTATTTATTTATTTTTAGCACTATGCATCCAAAATCTATGTCTGGATTTCAAAAGAGGAAAAAAAAATATGTGTTGAATCATTAACTCAAAGTCAAGTCGAAAAAATGAATAAGTACTTGATTTCGAATCAAAGAGCCACTTCAGAAACTAAAACATGAATAAGTACTTTTTTAATAGGGGAAAATAAATAAAATACCTTCAATTTTGGGTAAATGTGATCTCCACACCCTATACTTACCTATCTAAATTGAGTACCTCCTACTTCATTTAATTGTGCGATTAGAACCCTATTTCTGAAATAAACTTTGCTGATTAGACCCAGGTGACAAAATGTGTCAAGATTGGCAAAGTACCCAAATTAAAAACTGAATTCTCACAATACCCTCTTGGGAAAGAACTCTCCCTAATTTCACATATACGAATGCGTTCTTATGCTTGCATCTTCCATTGGTTAGAAAAACACTATATCATCACCGCAGCCATGAATGAGGATACAATGTTATAGCTCAGTGCGATAATATATACATGAATGAGGGAAATGCTTCGACACTTTAGCTTAGGGCGACGATGTTTCAATCAGTGCAACCAAGACCGCCAGCAAATGCTTCGACACTGTTGGCAAATACAGCACCTTGAGCTTCATTTTTAGGAAAGTTCTGAAATTAGGGAGAGGATGATTAAGATATTCGTGTGCTTTAAACTCTATTCGAGGATTTTCAGTCATCGTCTTCTCTAAACTCTAAAATGCCTATCTTCAGGAAAGAAGGTTTCAAAATTGAGAAAACTGTCAAATAGGTCCTCAAACTTTCATAAAAAAATCAATTAAGTCCTTCTATAGGAGACTCTGTCCGGTCGTTGCGATTTGGGGCGGTTGCCAGTGGAATTTTTTGATGAATTTTTTTGAGAATCTTATTCATCAAGTCTAGTTTACTCATACCAAATTTCAGCTCAAAATTTAATCGGGAGCGCATTCAAATTAATTCAAGAACGCAAAAATGCGCAGTTATCTTCAAGAATTAATTTGAATGCGTTCCCGATTGAATATTTAGCTGAAATTTGGTATGAGTAAACTAGACTTGGTGAATAAGATGCTCAATAAATTTCATCAAAAAATTCCACCGGGAATTGCCCCAAATCGCGACGGCCAGACAGAACCTCCTATAAAAGGACTTAATTGACCTTTTTATGAAAGTTCGAGTACCTATTTGACAATTTTCTCTTATAAAATTTCAGTAGAGTTTCTCAAATCAGAAGCGTACTTTTACCGTCTTCAAATGAGAAATACTTACGTAAGAAAAATGCCAAATAGATGTTTCCTTTGCCACTTAATATCACACGGGGTACTATTATCTCTACTTCAGCGAAGTAGGGGGTATTTTTTTAACCTTGATAAGTATGGGATGGAGATCTCACACTTACCCAAAGTTGAGGGTATTTTATTTATTTCCCCCCTTTTAATACATTCAATGTCATTTTGCACAATAAGTACAATAGCTCAATCTCAGCTATTCTTTGGATACCTACTAAAAAAATCAATAGATAATGCCCCCCCCCCCCTCCTTATGTAATTCTCTCGAACTCTTCTGCGTACTTTTAGTAATTTTTATTAATAAATTTGGGAAGTGTTCCCCGACACTTTCCTCACAAAAAAAAGACATCCAATGTCATTTTGTTATAATGTAAGACTCTTATTTAAAAATTGTGTTTTGATATTTAATCATTCAATTTTAGTGATCTACATGATAAAAAACACAATGTATTGAGTCCATTTTATAAAGCTTGACTCAAACCCCAGTTTAGGTAGAACCGGCACTGGACAGGGTCTTCAATACTCCGTATTACTCGTATATGCTACTCTATGTACCAGTGTATATACATGTCATGTACTCCCTCAGTCCCAAATTGTAAGATACATTTACTATTCACTTGGTCAACATAAATCACTCCTAAACTTTTATTTTATATATCAAAAGTTTATGAAGTTTGAATTATTTTTTGTAGGTTTTGTAGCGGATTTAATGTAGTTTTTGAATATGCAAATTTTATTTTCTAGAACTAATTTGGGTGTTGACAGGGATCAATTTGCTTTATCGTCAGTCAAACATCGTAAACCGAAATGTATCTTACAAATTGGGACGGAGGGAGTAATTCTTTACTGTATATATTATATATAGGATGCCGTTCATTTTCTTTTATCACATTTAACACTTCATTTGAACCGCATCCTAAAATTTGTCATGCTCTTCATATCAACCCAGCCTACCATTTGTCCTCGGCTCAGATTAATTTCCCTTGAGGATACAATGACATTTACAAAAGCAACAAAATAAGTAGTCACGGACCGGTTCCGGGCCAACCGGCCCGTGGCCCGACCCGGCACTGTTAGGAACCGGTCCGGGTAGGGCTGCCCAGGGGTTATACGGGTCAGGGTCGGGTCACCCAAATTAAGAACCGGTCCGGCCGGGCCTGGTTCGGGCCTTTTTTCAATTTTTTTTGTTTTCCCGGGTTGGGCCGGATGTTTTGGGGGGGTTTGGGGGGTGGGGGGTGAGGGGGGTGGTCAGGGTTGATTAGAAAAGCAAAAAAAAATTAAGAAGCCCGGGGACCGGCCCGGACCCAGTGGAAACCCGGCCCGGTTCCGGGCCCAAAGCCAAGCCCAGGACCGGCCCGGTTCCGGGCCCAAAGCCAAGCCCAGGACCGGCCCGGGACCGGTCCATGACTAAAAATAAGTATCAGTCACAATAACCCGAAGTCATGCACAAATAGCATACACTTTGGGAGCAATATACCATTCATAAACCAAACCAAGCATGCCCAATATGTCCCACTCGAAAGTATGCAGGCCTTACCTCGGCTCTACCCCTAGGAGGCTAGGAGTGGAAATGTACGGATGTACCTTTTGTGAAACCCCGGCTAAGGAACAACTCGAAGGCGTTAAAATTTTGAAAACATCTTGATATTTGTTAAAACTTTTAAAGATTTCAGTAAAAAAGAATTGAGTATATTTCAAAAAAAGAATTGTCAAGTAGATAAAGAAAGACATCCTATGTTGAAGGTAGCCTGTACAATGTGGTAAACAAGAACTGCTTGGACAATAACAGAAAGGAATAAAATACTAAACGTAGTAGCATCAAACAGCTTCAATAGGGCAGTACATAAAAGAAGATAATATATCGATACATAATACTGTATACACATACTGACACACACACATCTCTCTAAAAACTCCTAGTGATATCTCCTCCTACACAACTACACAAGGATATAAAGAAAGACACCAGAGGCAATAACAGTGATGTCTCTTGCTGGTAAGGTTAGTTCATATTTGCATAAATCAATTACCAGCAATCGCAACACTTGGTCCTTCCTAGTCTTAAGAGTCCAAATCCCTTTAGGTGATGTTGACCAGTAAATCAGTATGAAATTCATACATAAGCTGGAGAAACTGCTGGGCTTGCTTGCATCTGTGTATGTGTTCAATAATTAGGTTTTTGAAAATACATAGTACACAAAAATGACATCTTGAAGTAAATGGCATCTGAACCTAATGCAATCACATGATTGAATTTCAAAGTTGTGATGATTGTGACTGATAAGTGTGTGATGTGCTACTGAAAGTGACTCGATTAGAACAAGATTTTCCAGTCATTACATTAGCAGCATTTTCTGTAGATGATGAAAGTTTCCATAGTTCCTTGGTAGATGGCTGCCTTTGAACATCCATTTCAACCCCCTCCCCGGTGGTGGGTTGTGCAATTTGTTGATCCTCAAGCATCTCAAGTTGTTTCTCATAGCGTGCATAGTCCTCAGGTTTCTCCCACTACTCAAGCATGCTTACAGTTATTATTTGTCATAATAATATAGATGAAGAAAGAAATCCATTTCGATAAACAGATATTCTTACCCGGCTCTCACATGTCATGCAGTTGTAGTAATATGGATACCCATCAGGACATATATGTTCGCTCCATTCACAGTCAGCATCTGAAGGTGACTTGTTAGCAGAAGATGTCGTCGAAGGAAAAGCTTGCTCCGGTACAGCACAAAAATTCATTACTGTTTGCTGCGTGTTTCCAACAATTGGAGACTGCAAAAATATAAAATTGGACACATTATACGTATATGACCAAAGTTTATACAGTTGGTCAGTCAAGGGATTAAAAAAAATTATTGCCGAACAAAATTACACGCATGGAAGCCCCAAACTTGAAGTAGCCCCTCTTGTCAAGCAAAATTGAATTTTTAAGAACCTTATCTCTATAAACATCAAAACACCTCAAGTTTACTAGCTTTAGAAATACTACATGCTCTTTTAGGTAGGCAGCTAAAGGTTTCGGTATGTATACACACTACATAGTAGTATAGTACTTCTCTTGAAAAAGACGAAGTTTATCCAAATATCATATGGTAATTAACAGATGTCAGAATATGCTCATCGCAGAAGTGATGGTTGGTGAATTGAGATACCTGCTTTGGGCTCATTGAATTTGGTGGCATATGTCCACCAAAAGGTTCATTGATACAAGATGCCGCTCTGTGTCAAACCCAAAACAGGTCAAGTATGAAATATTGTCTAAAGAAGTGTAGAGAAAAGCACACATGATTCACATAGAAGACAATTCAAAGGAGAAGATCATCATCATCATCATTACCCATGTGCCGCAAAGGCTCCCCACCTACGGTGGGGGGGTCGGATGTATGCAGCCTTACCCCGGTACTAAAGTACAGGGAGACTGTTACCGGATGACCCATAGTGAAAATCGCGTCGAAAATTGCATGGACTTGCATGGACTGACTACTGCTTCATAACAGATGTCAAAGGAGAAGAAACTTGAGAGAAATGATATTCATATTTGAGTAGTTTTATGGAGCATGTGGTCTATCAAGAGCATGTTGTTAAGGGGTTTGAACAGGATGCAACCACCTCATTTGGTAAGGTCTGTTTTTGTGAGTTGGTTGCATCCTGGTTAGCCACATCAGCATGTTCATGGTAACTTACACATTGTTTTTAGTCATTAGCTTGATAGAATCATTTGTGCCGGGTTTACAAGTCTAATGTAGTAGTAGTAATGATAAAAGCACATTAAGGGTCTGTTTGGAGGGTCTTAGAGGATTCGCTTTACTGGGCTTAGACTATGTCTTCTTTCACATTGAGTAGTTGAGATTTAAAAAAAATGGAAAGATCAACATATTATCCAATCGCTGTTTAATTTATTAAACTCACATTATATGAGGTCCTATATCATTTCAGGCATCTGCTGCTCATTTCAGAAACATTATATTTATGGCAAAATTCACAAAAATAATCTTTACTTTTAGGGATTTTACAATAATAATCCCTACTTAGAGTATTCATAAAAATAATCCGAACTAGCAATAGTGTCCACAAGAATAAATTGAGGTAAATTAAAATTATTTGCCATTTAATTTTCTCAAATCTTACCTCTACTTTCCCCTTCACCACTTTTAATTTTGGGTAACACTTCTATCTTCTATCCTAGAAAGAACCACATATGGCGAAATTGACATTAAGATTAAACGGGTTTTAGTTTTAATTTACTTCGATAAGAATAGCGGTGAAGAGAAAAGTGAGAGTAGGTATTGATAGTATTAAACGGGCATTAATTTGATTTCACCCCAATTTATTCTTATGGACACTATTGCTAGTTTGGATTATTTTTATAGACACTCTCAGTAGGGAATATTATTGTAGAATCCCTAAAAGTAAGGATTATTCTTATGAATTTCGCCTATATTTATTAATATATGGACTAACCTCTCTCAACCCCCCCCCCCCCCCCCCCCCCCCCAAAAAAAAAAACACTCTCCAAAACCTTCTATCCAAAAAGAATCTAAAGAAACCAGCCATGTTCTAAAAAGCGCTACGAAGCAACACACAGGGGCCTACCACCTAGACTAAGTCAATGTTCACGCAGGGACAATTTTGGGAAAATAGATGTAGGCGGCCAAGGAAAACCTAGCACCTAAACAAGGATTTTTAGAGCATAGGTGCGGAAAGAACAAAAATAATCAAGGTCAGTTTCTGAGAATATAAAAGGAGTGAATTGGGAGGAAAAGAACCTAGAGTCTCCCAATCTAGGCTTCCTGGGGTCAGCAAAGCGAACAATCAAAGGGTGATCACAACCCTGAAAGCATAGTAAGAAAGTAAAATGGAAAGCAGTCATCAATGGTGAATACAAAAATCAAACAACAAAGTAGCTATATATTTTACCCTCATTGTGTAGGTCCCATGTAGTGCACTGATTGCAGCAACTGCCATGTCTCTACGAGAGAACTGAACAAAAGCAAATCCTTGAAGACAGGAGAAGTAGACCACATTAAGAAAATGATAGGGTGGAGGCATAGTTGACAGACAAAGAAAATCTAGAAATAGGGATTTTAGAAAATATGTAAAAGGCAAAAAAACAATAATATGAACTAAATCCTGAAGAATCCGCAAAAGGCCAAATTCTATAAGATTGCAGCAAAAAGTGAAATAATACAAGTAAGGCTAAAGCACTTAAATGTATCAAAAGTAGAACAAAAACACACAATAATCATGCCACTAAAAGAGATACATTTAGAAAGTGCACCAATTGTTAGCCAGCCCCAAACTCTTTTGGGATTAAGGCTTGGATGTTTTTCTTGTTATTCAAACATAGTGGAGGTAAAGAAATGTAAAATAAGGTGGAAAGTGAGTTACAGATAAATTAGAGTTTACCCCGACTTTGCTTTTGATCATCGCGGTCACGTACAAGGAAAATTGATTCAATAATCCCATACCGGGAAAATACCTGGTAGTAAAACCAAACTAAATATCACAAATGTTTTTATAATATATCTCAAGATATACATCTTGAGGTTCACCATAAGTAACCACGGAAATGTGAAACACGAGAAATGGGATTTCTAAAAATATATAGGATATGAAATGTGAGGGAAACACTTAATTATTACTCCGTAATAAATAAGCAAATAATTATAAATATTTTCACAAGTGTATACTTTTTTTTTCATTCATATATATGCACATATTTTTTTTTTTGGATGAAAAAAAATAAATCGATAGAATATATATGCACATATTCTTTTCACATAACGTTGTTTGATAACTAATACTTTCCTCCATTCTTTTTTAGTTGCAACACTTCCACTTTCGCGTTTGCCAATGCACAACTTTGACCATTAATATATGTATAACTCACTAATAGTAAAAGAAAATAAAAAATTCAGATGTTATAAATTCGAAATGAGATCAACTTTACAATATTTTTCAAAAAAATATAATAACATAATCAATAAAATGTAGTCAAAGTAGAGTATATGAATAGTGTAAAATTCAAACATGTTGCAATTATTTAAGAACGATAATTATAAATTATAACTATCTAGTAAGCCACTATGCATTACATATAAAGTGTTCAAGATTAGAAATTAATAAACATTAGTACATAGCTAAACATAAAATGCATTACATATCTAGTAAGCCACTATGCTATGCAATATCAGAATGTTGCTCGGAAAAAATCCTGCAAAAGTTTCACACATAAGTTTTAAAAAGCTCCTATTTTCCATCAAGGAATCCCACCAAAAAGAAACAATTGGAACCCAAAGGTTCCAAACTGCTAATTATTTGGGGAAACTGGTTTCCCAATTCCTTTTCATTACGGAAATGTCCGTGAAACAAAATTTTGAAGTCTCCAACACGCTTCAGAGTTTCCAAAAACGGGAAATGTGAGGCGTGGGAAGTTTCAGTGCTTCATAGGGTTCACCATGTCAATAAGAAACAAAAAGTTAGAGTTACAATAGCTGTCTCAAAACATGAATTATGGCCACTCAATTCTTTTTTTGCAAAAAAAATATGATGACCCATTATACCAGCCGCATACAAAAAAAATTGACTGCATAGGTGAAAAGGGAATATAAATTCTGGTAACATATAATGAGTGATTGTGCCACAGTTATTCATAAGATAACCATGCTGATATTTACTGTGTGGGTACTTGTGAAAACCGAAAAGGTAATAATCGGAAAAACGACAATGCCATTTGTCATGCAGCTGCACCAAAAAATAAAAGACGGATGAAAACAATTCAGAAGACTTGGCGCGTACTTCATCAATTTCCCTTTTGGAAGTTTGTCTGTTCATGCCACCAACATATAGTTTGTGTATATGTTCACCAAAACTGCCTGCAAAGAGACAGGCAGACAATAACATTATAATTCACCGCAAAAGACTGCTATACTAATGCACACACAACTACACACGATAAGCAATTGTCTGTTACATCACATTGCCATGCTGAATTTCCATAACTATTGCACTATATAGATGAGCTGTTTTACATAATGCGCATGTCAGTTTTACAATATCTACATGGTGATGTAGCAATAGAAGTTGTGACATCACTATACCGACTGTCTCAAGTCTCAACACTCCTGTTGGAATGTTATTAATATTAGTGATCTAGTGCATTCAATTATATATGTTTAAATGAGAAAGTTTACATATACAGATATACTACATATATAATTATATATATATATGAGTGTATTTTGGAAGAATGGAATATAAATCTAAAAGATAGATTTCATTAATAATAAAAATAATATTAATGTCTCATATTCAGAGGAATATCTACTCCTATCTGTTCACACGGTCACACCATGACATGTAAACATTGAAATCCTTATGCAAAAGTTTAGACACTTCTTCATGTACACACCACAGCACCTCATGTAAAATTAAGCAACATTACTTAAAAACATATTTTTGAAAGAAAATCACCTAGCCGTTCTCGCTCCCCCTCGGCGTACCTAACTCGTAATGGACAGTGAGCCTGAAAGAAAAAAAGCATCTATCAAATAACAGGATACAGATGCATCTTATGTGTGAAAGCTAAAACATCTTAAGTTCATATGTATGGCAAAACTAACCCCAGGGATGGTGTGCCGATCATGTAATGCTACGATTGCTCGATCAGCATCATCCAGTGTTCTAAACTTCACAAAACAACTCACTGCAAAATCAACATACAAGCAAATCATGCGATTAAGAGAAAAAGTCACCTAATGCAGTAATGCTAATGCTTAGGCCTCCTTTGAATAATGAGTACAAAGAGCATAGTTTTTTTGTGAATATCAAGCATGAAAATGTAAGTAAGACATACAATATTGTAGCAATACAATGATCATTGACAGTATTTAGATTAAGACAATTATACAGCTTTATCCACCTTAACTAGAGCAGTAAAAGATTTTGCAAAGGAAACAGCGAGCAGAAGCATATTTGTATGGCGTCAAACATAATTTAAGAGTAAAAAGCAGTCAAGCACATTATCAACGTACTGCACAAATGAACATGAACAGATAAGAACCTCGTTGGTTCTTAAAATGAAATTTGAATTCTTTTGCATGTTGGGGGGGGGGGGGGGGGGGTCAGATGAAAAGGTAACGAGCCTATAGTAAGATGCTTTCAGTGACCAGAGAGCTTTGATCCTTGCAATAGCGGAACATGGATGACAAAATACTTAAAAACAAAAGGTATCCTATCACCCTCATACGCTTAAATTAACTTCTTTTTATGTTGTATTACTTTATAAAAATTAGAATTTGGAATGTACTCTAAGATATTACAGCATATAGTATCTCAAGAAAGCATACATTTAGTAAGCACTCCAGTCAAAAGATAATGTCTCCACCTAATGGCCAGGAGGTACATTTTGTTGAACATCTAAGATCTTACATGATATACTATCTCCAGACAGAAAAAATTTAGAAAAAATAAAGCCAAAAGCTAATGTCACCATCCGATTGTCAGGAGGTATAGTTGCCTGAATAGATCCAAAAAGGAGAGAAGGCTTGAAATTTCACCACGGATATTTCCGAACTACAGTTTGCACAATGATAATGTACTTTTAAAAAGGAAAATAAGAGCATCCAAATAACCAAATATGAAATACATAAATACTTTTTCATTTGAAAACTTTAAATGATTTTTGAGTTTGCAATGTTAATCAAGCAGTGGCATCTTGTGTCTCCAACTCTCCATTTATGCAAAAAGAACAAACTTTTACATCAACTGGCGCTCAACATGAATATTGCAAGTGCTTGACTAAAAGGTTCATCACAAAAAATTAAAAGAAAATGATCAATGAAATGAGACTATTCCAGTAGGTTGTAAATTGAAAACATTTGCACACCTTGTTTATGATCAGTCTTTTTATCCTTGAGGAGAATAACCTCAACAATATGCCCGTACTCACCAAAGATGTGTCGAATCTGGAGTTGAATGGGGCAACTGCCAACATTAATGCTTATGAAACATTCTGAAGGAGCATTGATGACAGAAATAAGAAACAATTCTAGTGCCTTCACTTTATTGAAAAAATTAAGACTCATAAATCCACTCATTGTGTGTGTGTGTGTGTGAGAGAGAGAGAGCACAATATGGGTATAATCAACCAAACATGAATATCAGATGACAGGTGTTACGCTTTTATGAATCTGTGTTTCTTGATATGAATCAAATACAGTATAATAGAGCATTATTAGACATTGTCCTCATTGCATTAGATAACTAAGCTTAGGACTTCCAGTATGCATATACATAGAACTCCACTAAAAACCAAGGAAATGCAATATTCCAAGATAAGGCTTTGTTCAACCCAACAGTTGTGAAACTGAAATAGTCATGATTAGTTCCAACAGTCATGACCCATCCAAACCTCGATGGAGCGAGCTAGGCCTTCGACCAAGCAATGCTGTGTTAACTCAGCAATGGCCCCCTCCCTCCCCTACCCCCAAAAAATAATAGAATCTCAAACTTAAATGAAAAGATGTTATCTGGATGAAAAGTTTTAAACTGTAATCTGTATTTGTTATAAATCCTCAAATAGTTCATATGCTTTTCCCAGCATTACACATGCTCAATACAATCGTTTATGGACATCAGGTTTCCAGTAAAAAGAAGCAAGGTCCAAAGGTGTTAAGCTTCAGAATTACTTCGTATTAATTATATATTACAACTACTAGGATGTGCTTTAGCATATGTTATATGTACATATGTTTCTCAAAAGCTAATAATGCATACATCTTCTTCGGTAGCTGTTCTTGGAACTCCTCCAACATATAGCTTAACAAATCCCCCGCCTTCTAATCCATCTAAAAGGAAGAAGATAAAACAAAATTCACAGGCATTAATTCAATGGGAAGAAACAGTACTGCTACGAACTTAACTGGACTCAAAACAAGTAACTGAAATTGAAATTGATTAAATGAGAGTCAACTTTAAGCGTGCGAGGAGTACAAATCAACCAAAATAATTGTCGTACCAGAAAAAGGCGGTGGTTGTGAGTGGGGGAGAGGCCTTTTACGCCCTGATGTATGCGGAGAATGGCTGAAGTTGCGACTGGCTGCGCCATTAACGGAATTATTTGGCTCGACATTTGGGTTTTGATGGTGGAGATTGTCAGAGTAACTGTTCTGGTGCTCATGGCGGCTGCTGGTAGCAGCGCTGACGGTGGTGGTGGTGGGCGTCCCCGGGAAATTTTCTTCCGGTACTGCCGTTACTTTGAGTGATTGACCTCGCCGGAGTGCCCCGACGGCGCCGCAGTGTGAGAGTTGCGGTGAAAGTCTGGGTGATCGCCTGGGAGTTCTCCATTGCTTCTGCTATCCATTTTTCTAGAGAAAATAAAAAACTGAAAAAATACGCATTCAGCAGTTCAGCTTCAGGAAGCCAAAGACTTTGACGGGGATAGCCTGCTGCTCTGAAAATATTTGTTCGATTGAAGTTTTATTTAGAGGCTGGAACTGCCCCCAAATGTCTAAGGCCGGACAAAGACAAACTCATACTACCTCAACGCTAGAATCTTCAAAACTCACGTTATGTTATGATTAAAAATTTATTTTAGATAACTTATTGTAAAACATATTATTTGAATGTTAATTTATTATGAATTTTATAAATATAGATATGTAGATATTTGCAGTCAAAGTTCAACTTAGAAGACCGTAAAAAGTCAAAATGAGAAGATCTTTATGTTACGGAGGGAGTAACTTATTTGATCCTCAACTTCGAGTACCAATCACTGTTTACTTGTTAAATTACTTGAATGTTTACTCAATTTTAGCACAAATAAACTTTCTTTAGACTTTTAATTGATCTTTACACGTCATGCTAATCATTTATATAATGATATATATATATATATATATATATATAATCATATATATAATCGTTAAAAAAGTAATTATATGTAAGTTAGGTGTGTCCTGATATCAAGTGTTTAATGGTCTAGAATTTTGTGAGCAATCTCTAAAATTAGTGTTCCAATGACTTGATACTTGTGGAAACAAATATCTGAGTTTTTCAATACCTTAGAAATAAAATATATGTGCATGTGTATGTGTGGAGAAATGTCGTGGAGAAATGCTAAGGCTTTGTTTGCAAACAACGGAAAAAAGACACTTTTTTCCATTAACTTTTTTGGTTTAAAAAGTTAAAGAGTGTTATCAAGTGACAACTTCTACTTAAAAAAAATTTCATTAGCTTTTGTGCAAAAAATGCTTTTTTACTTTTTCTATTACAGAAAAAAACACTTATACCAAACGCTACCAAATTTTACTTTTCAAAATCACTTTTTTTCAAACACTACCAACTTTTACTATTAATCAGTTTTCCCAAAATCACTTTAAAAAGTTAAAAGCACTTGGGAGTAATGTTTGCAAACAAACACTAAAGTTACCCCAAAATGGGGTACCCCATACATATAGCATTTCTCGTATGTGTGCATTTGTTTTTACTTTTAAAGGAAACTACACATTAATGCCTAATTTTTTTTATCGAAGAGGGCTTAAATTGATATCAAAGCATTCAGTAAGGGTACAAGATAACAAAAGGACCATAGGTCCACATATAATCATCCGCCCTTGGCCGAGACTCTGAGTTAATCACTATTGACAAAGCAATATAACTCGCTAGACCTAACTTGGGCATAAAGTCAATGACGATTACCATAGACCTCTCATCCCCCAAACCTAATGCTAGAGTTTTACGACAAAGGAAAAAATAAGAGTAAACACGAACAGTCTGACCATGGAATGAAAAATAAAAACAAACAGTAAAATAAAAACCAGTCTTCGTCTTCCAGAGCATAGCCGCCACATGCATTAACGGGTCTATTGAAACTAACCTGCCGCCTCCCCATTTTTTGGCCTATCCAGCGCCATACCCTCTCCAGCTAACTCTCTTGTAGACTGGTCATCCCAAATTCTTCTGCGTTTTGTCTCGCCCAGCACCTCCTCCTTATCTGCCTTCCCTCCCTGCTGAGATACACTTGCGCCAGTTTCAGCCGATTGCTCGCCCCCGAGATCAGTCTTCCGCTGAATCCCAAAATCCCGGAGCTCGAGGACTCATTCACCAACCACTTGTTTACTCCTGTTGAGCTAGTCTTCACCCCACCGTCTGCCCTGAGTTCCACCCCAAAGGATTTCTCCAGCACAATTCCCTCTTCATATTACAAAGGGCAAAATTTATCCGAGTGCCCAATAACCCCACACATGACGCAGATATTAGGTAATTTCTCATACTTAAAGTCTACCCAATGTCCCACTTCCGCCTTTGTTAAAGTAGTACCCTTTATAAGGGGTTTTCGCACATCCATACAGACTCTTATACGTTGATATGATTTCTAGTTACCTTCAAACTGATTCTTATCAAGCCTAATGAAGGTACCAATTAAGATGGTTCCCAATTCTCTTGGCAGAAACCAACTTTCTAAATTTATAGGGAACATTGTAGACATGTACCCAAAATTCAGCCTCAAACAAATTCATACGTTGAGGTATATCATCTGGCTGAACCGCTCTCAATAGAACTAAATCTCTTTCAAATAACCAAGGGTCATCCTCAAGAACACGATTCATATCGAGAACATGATTAAAATTAAAGAGGTTCCTTTTATCCCCAATTTCTTTGATAGCCATACCTCTCCCTGGTCGCCATATTGAAGTCAGCAGCTCTTGAAATCCCTGGAGCTTAATTTTTCGATCCATGACTACAACCCCCACCACCGGGAACACTGTTGGTTCGTCGGCCTCCTCCAACTCCTCTAATTCATCATCATCGAAGTTGACTCCATTGTCCTTCTCGCCAATCGTCATGTTCTTGTAGTTATTGACAATATCCCCCATCAATAACAACCCTTTGTTGCATGCCTTTCCCTTCGTCTGCTTTCTCGATCGAAACCTCCACCTTGCCTGAGCCTCGAACGGACCCCTCGGAGAAGGACCTGCAGCAAGACTCGAACAACACCCTACTGAAATCACTCGCCGAACACAAAGTTTAAAACCGACCTTCGTCTTTGACGAAATCGGAAGGAACCCCTAGCAGCGTGATGCCCTAGAGAGAGATCGCCTTTCAATGTATCACTAATGCCTAATTTATATCTTTGAGTATGTTATATTTTACAATAGAAAAGTTCAAGTCCGGAACTCCGGACCAGAACCTCCGTTCGGTTGCCGCCTTTTCATATGGTTTTCGATCAGTGCCTATATCATACATTCGGGTGTACATGCACCCGGCCCAACTAAGGAAAGACAGACCAATAACTAATATAGGCCAAAAAAATTCGGTGGCATTTTTGTGATTTAAGCGAAAAATCACGGTTCCCGCTAAATGAGTAATAATGTACTTTTAGTGAGCATCTGACCTATTATATTTAGTATTATGAGGCTAACAATGAGTATCACGATTTCAGCTTCATATATTCTAATTCTTTTTTTTTTCTTTTATAAAAACTTATTAAATTATATCTATAATTCACTCCTATTAATTTCAATATGCGAGTCTAATGTAACACGATACTTTTAAAATATGTATTGATATGACATTTTAAAAATGAGCGTAACATGAGTACCAAATGAGCATACATAACTTACAACATTTTAATTGAGCATCAAACTTCCGCTATTGAGATGAAAATCACGATTTCTGGTGAATGAGTATTAATGAACTTTTAATGAGCATTCAGATCTTTTATGTTGAGTATTAGGAGTCTAATATTCATATTCGTGATCTCTGCTTCATGACTTCTAATTTACTTTCTTTTTGTTATTTTTTCTTTTATAAAAACTTATTAAATTATATTTATAATCAACTCTTATGAATTTCAATATGTGAATCTAATGTAAAATAGTACTTTTAAAAAAATGTATTGATATGACATTTAGAATATGAGTATAAGATGATACGAGATGAGCATATGTAACTTGCAAAACACGCATTGATGGAAATCAAGATTTCTGTTAAATGAGCATTAATGATTTTTTTAATGAACATCAGACATATACAAATGAGCATATGTAACTTACAAGATGAGAATTGATATAATAATTGCGAGTTTTGTTCGTTGAGCGTCAAGACAGTTTCAGTAAGCATTGAACCTCCGTTATTGAGTATTTGAATCGTGCGATTGAGTATCAGGATTTGTGGTCTCGTGTCTATAATCAAATTCTATGTGAATGTAATGTAATATGAGACTTTTGAAATATGCATTGATATAACATTTTAAATGAGCGTAACAAAGGTACTAAATGGACATACATACTCCCACCGTCCCTGAAACAAGTTCCCCTTTTCCTTTTTGGATAGTCTCTGAATTAAGTTCTCATTTCTTTATTTGGCAAATTATCTACATCAAAACAGTGTCAAACAGTGCAAAACAGTGTCAAACGGTGTCCAAGCAGTGTCAAAGCAATGTCAAACAGTAAAATTTACCCCCCGGCCCTCAATAAATTTATTTCCTTAATATGTATGAAAAGCAATGGGGAACTTGTTTTGGGGATGGAGGGAGTAATTGACAAAATGAGTTTTCAAAAGCTCGTTTGTGTATGTTCATTTTTTTAGACGCTTTACTTATTTGAGTTTAAAATAAAGCTCATTTCTAATGTTCTCGGTATTAATAGATAAAGAAAAAGAAAGAAGTAAACCAGAAATAAAAGAAACGAAAAGAAGAAAAGAAAAAGACAAAAGAAAAGAAAGTAAACTAACTAACACTAAAAGTAACGGGAAAAAATAAAATAAAAAAGATAAAACACAAAATTTAAAGAGTTTTTTCGGAATTAAGGCTAAATAAAAAAATATTTACGGAATTAAGGTGGGGTTAATTAAAACTATTTACCAAAATACCGTTGGGTATAACCATGGTAGGCGAAAGTCGTCAAACTGTTTGGCGACTTTGAAGTCGCCAAATGATTTGGCGACTCTTACAATGCGCAATACAGCCGAAGAAGTCTAGGCAAGGAAAAGAGAGAAATAAGTGTGGGCCCCATTTGATATAAAAACCACTTTTTTCTTTAACAGTCCATAACTTTTTCGTTTTTGCTCCATTTTTTTAAATATACCAAAATTCATGATTTTTTATTATCTTTCATTTGACACCAATATTGGATATATAAACTTTTAAAAAAATTGAAGGCTTATTAAACAATCTTCTTATTTTCCAATCTCCGTACGGATGATTTCAAAAAAAAATAATTACATAAATATGATTAAAATAAAGATTGTTTACAAAATTGACTAGGGTAGTAATGAAATTATAACAATCTATGTTCAATTTTAAAATTTAATTTAGCATGACACTACATTGTAGTAAATATTAGTCATATTTGTGTAAATAAACTTTGTTTTATTAATATTTTTGAAAAAAAAAACCTTATTTAATATTATATAAAGATATAATTCCTATTATATGACAAAAGTAAATATAGGGAATTAAGTCGGGACTTGATAATTTTTAGAGGCTATAATTATGCTTGAATTAT